TATCGATTATTCGAGCCATTTATGCAATAGAATAGTCAGCCATTTACATAATAATGTAGTTACTAGTCAATGTCTGCTTACATGAATGAGCAAGGCTGACATCTCTAATCGCAGAATATAAACTTGCAGAATACGCTTTGCTCATCTTTTGCATATTACCGCTTTGAAGTACAACTTGCACAAAGAAAAAAAAAAAAGGGGGACAGTTCTATATATCCCGTTCTCACATTATATCTACGACTGTCTACTCAGTTCTCCCATCAGAGGCTTCCTTCCTCAGCTCCAGGAATCACATAGCCTCAAAGACCTTCTTCAGGATTACTACGGACAGCCGGGCGTCAGAGTATGTCTAAGAGAAACATAATCATAGCAGATAACCAGGTCTAGGCACCTGACGAAATGTAAAGGCAGAAAGCCTCTATTATATATATATATATATATATATATATATATATATGTAATAATAAAATTCCATAGTCAACGAATACACTTAAAATTCTAACTGTATGTTCTTTTCATTTTTCATGGCGACGGTCTCTTATTTGAAAGTACGTGGAATTAAATCTACGCCCCGTAGTCAAGTTGTTTTCCCGCCTTTTCTACACGTACAGTTATAGAATGTTCTGGAGATATTTAAAGCGAAGGGATGGCTGACGAAGCTGACGTCATTTCTTGGAAGCTCCCCTTTCCAGAGGCTTATAAAGGACTCACAAAGGAATATCGGGGTTTTTTCTTTAATTAACGATGCCGTAACTCCATCAAAGTTATTAGTAATTCTTTTTTATTTACTCCGGTATCTGATTTTGTAACTGCTATTTCTCGTGAATAATAATAATGGATCCTGTTTTTTTAAACTTATCGTCTGATAATTTAAGCTACGACTAAAGCTGGTACATCACACACACACACATATATATATATACGACTTACAACCTAGTACTTACAATCTAGCTTGTAATATATATATTGTACTTACAATCTAGCTTATAATATATATATATATATATGTAAATACCTCTAAACCTACTAAACCGTTTTGCTAATTTTACACTAACATACCCAAAACGTAAGTTGGAGCACCCAACAAAAGTAATACACTATTATTAAATCCGTTTAACAATAATAAGGTTGAAAATATAAACAACTAAAAATGGTTGCTGGTGCAACGATCAGGATAACATGACTGACCTGTAGTGTCAATTGTGAGGTCAAAGCGGGCGGAATAAATAAATAAATATCCCATTCTACTAGGCCGATTGGCAAAGTTTAACTTGCGTTTTTCATGTCTCGAAAGCGCAATTTAAGATACATATATATTATACACGGTGTTCCAAAATGACCGCATAAACTCTGCACAGCTAGATTTCTCGTTGGGAGTACATAAAAACTGCCCAAAGAAGCGTTCCTCTACGATCCATAGCTTACGAGAAAAATTTGAAAAACAAAGTATGACATCATTGCTGGTGCAAGAAAAAAACACTTTATTGAACTTTTTCAACAACAGTATTGGCATATCTTTCCAGACGATAATGTTTAAAACGGTCGCAGAAACATCAGGAACGTTGGTCTCTTAATGTGTGAGCCGGTATACTCGGGGTTCCCCTGCTTGGACCATATCTGTTACCTAAACGGCTCTCAGGGCAGTCGTACTTGGTGTTTCTCAATGAGGTCTTAACCGAGTTCCTCAATAACATACATTAGCTGCAATACAAGGACTTTGGTTCCAGCATGATGGGACTCCGGCGCATTTCTGTGCTCTTCTACGTGGTTGGCTGAATATGGAATACTCCGGCCGCTGGATCGGACTTGGGGGTCCGCTTCTATGGCCGCCACGTTCGCCAGATCTGACACTGTTGGATATTTTTTTCTATGGGGCCATCTCAAGGAACTGGTGTATCGAGACGTAGTGACAACACCAATGGACTTAAATTCTCGTCTGCATGATGCTTGTGCTTCGGTAGACCCCGCGATGCTGCAACGTGTGATGATAGACATTCCACAGCGTGCTCAACCTTCCTCGACATGCACGGCGGGCACTTTGAACATCTTCTTTAAATTGTGCATATAATGCTGTTGATATGTTCAATAAAGTGTTTTCTCTTGTACCGGCAGTAACGTCATGCTTTGTTTTTCGTATTTTTCTCGGAAACTATTCGTACAGGAACGCTTCTTTGGGCAGGTTTTATGTACTCCCAACGAAGAATCTAGCTGTGCAGAGTTTATGCGGCCGTTTTGGGACACCCTGTATATCATATAGATGGTTTTTCCAGATGGGTGTCTTTTCTAGAAATCTTCTTTCTTTAATGAGAAAGGCCTTTCATCAAATATCATTCTAAGAACCCTCTCAATAGTAAAAATAATTTTTGCTTTCTTTCAACTAATGGTCTTACACTTTTAAACAACATTGTATGCAATGTTAATACGCCCGAGGTCTTTTGGCGGGAACAAACCAAAAAGTATCATTTTGGATTTCAAACTCATCACCAAAAATTTTTACATTTGTCATATAAATTCTCTAAATGAAGGATTCATTCCGTGGTCCCGTGGTATAAGGATCCTTACCTATAAATGTCGGAACAGTGTTTATAAAATTCCACACAATATTTTGAAAAATTCTTTAGTTAAAATATACATCTACCGTTCATATTTAAGAAACAAAATCTCACCTCTATGTTTTTTTAATATCCTACCCATGCCCATACAGACCGATAAATGTTTAACTGCAATACTTAAATTCTCAAGATATTTTCCAAGATATTTCTGGCCTGTGTTTTTTTTTTTCCTCTCAGAAGATTAGTTACATCCTGAACTAAATCCTAAGTAAAAGAAAGGAAAACCAAATAAGGGAAGAAAAATATTTCTTTTTAGGATTCTTTTGGTACTGCCATGCTGTGACAAACGGTTAAGTTAGGTTCGGGATAACGACGCATTTTTCCTTTTCTTCGGTTCCTATGAGTTGTTAATCCTTCAAGTACAATTTAATTAGTAATAGGAAACTGTTCATCAAGTGGGCCATTTATTGTGCATAGCTGGCTCATCTCTTGACATGATACCTAACTGTAAAGCTAGAAATGATTAATTTTGTATATTAAGAACAGAGCAGTGTTTCTAATTATTTTGTAATACGACGAGGAAGGCATAAGGACTTTGTATCCTGATAATATACACTGACTACCAATAAGAATTTGGACACCAGTGATAGAAAAGAAAAACTAACTTTATTCAAAATCAATAGTTGGTATAGCCTCCACGAGAGGAAATTACAGCGTGGACCCTCCGGGGCATACTTTTCACAAGTCTTTGTATAACAGCTAGTGGTATTTTCTTCCACTCGGCTTGGAGAAGACATAGAAGTTCCTTCACCGATTTTGCATGGGTAGTGCACCCCTGAATTCGGCGATGCAAGTCGTCCCAGAGGTCCTCGATAGGGTTCAGGTCTGGACTCTGGGCAGGCCAGTCCATTCGATGAACTCCATTGGCACCATACTAAGCCTTGGTTAACGTCGAAACATGACAACTGGCATTGTCGTCCTAAAAGTAACAGGGTTCCAATCCGTAAAAACTGCCACAACGTAGGAAGCACATTGTCATCCAAATATGTGCAGTAGGCATCGGAGTTGAGCTTACCATGAATGGGTACCAAGGGTCCCAGCCCATACCAGGAGAAACACCCCCAGACCATAATTCCACCTCCGCCGAAATTGACTGTTGGCACAATGCATTCTGGCAGGAGACGTTCTCCAGGTAGACGCCAGACCCAGACCCTGCCATCCGAACAGTAAAGAGTGAACCTTGATTCGTCACTCCAAAGAACCCGTTTCCACTAATCTACGGTCTAATTTCGATGTGCTTTGCACCACACTAACCGAGCAGCGCGGTTGGACTTTGTGATCAAAAGCTGATGATCAGCAGCACGACCATTAAAACCAAGCAGATGTGCTTCTTTGCGGATGATATTCATTGAAACAATACTCCCGGATGCCTGTTGAAACTCCTCGCGGATGAGGGCCATTGATTGGGTACGGTTCTTCCGAATTTCTCTGGACAGCACTCGTCGGTCTCTATCTCCCAGTTTCGTTGGTCTGCCGACTCGGGAAGCATTCCGACAATCACCGCTCACCTTCCACTTCTTAATCACATAGGCCACTGTCGATTTCGTGTATTTCGGATTGCTAGATATGTTCCTTAAGGATCGGCCACATTTGTGATACCCGATAATTATACCTTTCTCGAAATCAGAGAGCTCCGAACTGCGATGCATCTTGCATGCGACTGAAGCCGATGCTGTTTCCTACACGATATATACCGGCTGAATCCGTGACGTACCTTAGGACCGCAGATATCGTCATTTGCATAGGTGTCCAAATACTTATTGGTAGTCAGTGTAGAAAATATTGCCCTCCGAGACAAATAAGTGCAAGCAATTCAGGGAAATGAATGCACAGCTAAGTCTTGAATAATTACCTTTTCTTTATTAAATAATAATACAAGTCTCCACGTTACATTAATTTACGATGTAAGGATATCACAGCGAAATGTTCCTTGCCATTTGGTTTTGCCATTTTGAATAACTAATATTAATAAATATTTAAACGTAAGATTCCGTGTTGTATATCTTTAATTTCCAGAAGATTAATTCTTAAATTGGTAGGGCTGTTTTAACTGTTTAGTCTAAAATGGCTTCAAATGTTAAATTAAAACCTGGATACCTAAATCCTATTGCAATTTCTTTTTAATCTTTTAAAAAAAATTTTTTTTTTTATGTTTTTGAAATTTGTTTAAGTTCTTGAGCTTTAAAGATTAATTTAACTCTCTGAGGCATCAGACAATACGCTGAAATTTCCAGCTTGCAAAGTTCTTTTTGGAAGCTTTTCTTACTGCTTTTTTCATATTTAAAGCCAAAAAAAATATGAACTCTCTTAATATACACTTCCATTATTTTTACAGCAAAAAATCTCGCAGATACGTTGCTGTTGAATATATGAGAAATATGATCTTTAGACGACTGGTCCTTCATTCACCTTCAGCACTCAGTGTCTACGAGCTGCATACCCGGATTAAAGCTTTCGAGCAGAAAATGCCACAGGAAGATGTTAAAAGCCCGTTTGATTCAATGCCGTAACGTACTTATTTATATTGGTGGCAGCATTTCAAAATACTTATTTTTTACCATGAGTTTAGTTGTATTTTCTTGAAACTTTAATAATTTATTTTCATTAGTAATACGTTGCATAAATTTCATTTTAATCTGGCAATTCTTTCATATCACTGCAACTTAATCGAGTCCGTACGCTTTTGTTGTGGGATTTCTGGCATAACTAATTTAGGATAAACAATGAAACTAATTTTAATAGTGTACAATAATTTATCTTTCCTTGCTTTTTATCAGATTGAAACCATGACTTAATCATATGCGATGGCAACACTTGCTAAATATCAAGAATTGTAAATGAAATCGTAGCATTTTATTTTTGCTGTGCTATTTTCTTTGAATTTTTAACCTGCTCTTGTTCTCCTATGGCTCAAAAGCTCAGATATTACTTCTTGAATATTCCTGATCGCCTCAGGTTTTAGCCAGAAATAGGATATTTAAGTCGACGAAACTCTGTGAAACTTGAAAAAAAAATGTGATGCAGACACCGCATGACTTCTTTGCACGGCATATTACATTATACACATTTTTGCTGCTCTTCATATAAACTCATTTCCTCGAATTTCATTAGAGATCTATTTCTCATTCAATCGATTCAGTTCGTGGCATGGCAAGAATATATAAAAACACAATCTTCATTAAAAGTAGTAAAATACAGAAAAACCTGAAACACCATATAGAAGTCCCATATACAAAATTTCAATGTTCTACGTCTACTCGTTTTTGAGTTATGCGAAATACATACGTATGTACAGACGTCACGAAAAAATCTCTTCAGAATCATTTTTAAATCCATTCTCCATTTTGCAATCCCTTTTGGAAAAAAAAAATACTCTATTCTGCCCGTACAGATGTCACCCAAAAACATCGTTCAGGTGAATTCGAGAGCCGTCAAAATGGATATTTCTTTGTAAATATGATAACCGAAATTTTTCGCGATTACAATGCTTCCTTTACTTTGCACAAGGACGTAAAAAATCCCATATTCGAAAACTTGAAATTTTCGGAAATTTTTTGTCATTCAGATCTTTCGACTTTCTAGCAAAAAGAATTGGGAAGCGTTTTAATTCGAAGCTTTAAAAATAAATATTACTGATATTCACTAATAGCATTCCTTGAAAAATGAACAGGATTCTGTCTATTTCAATGGCTCTGGGTCACCAATATCACCTCATCAGATCTGATTACCAAGCTCTTAATTTGTATATGAGAATAAACGTTCCCGTTATGCATTTAACTGTCTCAAAACTTTAAAATCCTGTCCCTCTGTTCTTGCTTTTATTTTGAAAGTTTCATCAATTTACGTTTATTCAATTTGGCAACTTTTAACCGGAAAAGACCTTCGTATAGAAGGAACAAAATTTTATTCATTTTCGTTACGACATTTACTTTTTGATTTATATATATATATATTATTTACTTCTCTTTTATTTACCCATTATGTTACCAGACTCGGTGAACTCAGTTTTTTTAATTCTTCTAATGTTTCTAAATTCTGAATTTTTGCTTTAAAAGTGATTGAATTATATTTTTCTTGTGTTAAAGTTTTATACCTTTAAGTAATCGTCATGCAATAGTCATAGAATTAACAACAATTTAAAAGCCGCGCTAAGCCTAACGAGGCCGCCATTTGTTTACATTTGAAACTCTTAATGGAACAATGAGTGAAGTTAGTTGATGCACCAACTTAAGTCTCTTTTTGCCCAGTGAGACCTAAAGTTTACTCTCAGTTTTGAGCAGCAAAAAGTCAGGCTTCCTACCCGCTGATTTAACTGCTTGTTTTTCGTAGAATCTGTAATTCTGATTGTAAAAACTTCTTTTAATTAATTTTATCTGTATCAGGTGTTTTAGAATTTTCTGTATTTTACAAATTTTAATGAAGATATTTTGAGTTTTTATATATTTCTGCCTTGCTGGAAATGAAAATTTAACTAATTGAATGCAAAATACATCTCTAATGATATTCGAGGAAATAAGTTTAAATAAAATGCAGCAAAAAATATGTATAATTTAATAGACCGTACAAGGAAGTTATTTGGTACCCACATCCTATATTTTTTATTTCCTGTGAAAAGCAGAATAAATTGGGCGCACATAATTCTTAACTCTTCCCTAAAATTTCGCAAATCTGTAGAGCAATTGTGAAGCTAATTATTTTATAAATAGGCATGTTATTTTCCTGGTATTTTTATTCTAAACTTTCTTTCATTTTCTCTAAAATTAGCCCGTTGCAAGAGAAAAAAGAACAGTTCTTTCTCCCAGCCGATAAACACTGCGCAAACACTTAATTGACAGAGCCTGACGAGAACTTTGGAGAGTTTAACGAAAGATTAAAACAAAGAAACGGACCATCATCTTGATGGAAATTATTTACCGGCGTTCATTTTACGCTGAAAGGGCAAGGACAATGAAAGAACTGCGTTTGCAGTAAACCAAGAACAATCGGTACTGATCTCTTTTGTCCACTGTTCGACAGGTAAAAGGTTTGTTTGAGTTTGCTGAGAAAAGTTTTATTCTTCTGTTGTTGGCAGAAGGAGTTAAAAGTTATTCAGAAGTTCTGATCTGAAGCCCGTGTAGAATGCACGAAGTTATAGTAGTAAAGAATTAGTTGTCAGTTTTGTTATTATTCGCATTAGAAGTATAAATCAATTAAATTTATGTAGCTGTAGTAAGATATGCACTTGAGATAAGGTGAAGGTAAATATGTGTTCACGGAGGCAGTATGTCATTCAATCTTAAATTAGGTTATAAAATTACCAAAACGTAATCGGAAACGCTGGCGGTTAGATAGTGAACGTAGCGATAAGCTGGAAAAAAGATCTTAAACGAAAGAAAAAGGATGTTTTACAGTGAATCCAAAAATTTAGCGATGAGTATATTTAACGGTGCGTTAAAATAATACAACTGCAGGCCATTAAAATTGCAACACCAGGAAGGAATGATCTGACTAACGTCAAAATCACATAAAAATGATTAGTATGCAAATGATTAGTATTTCAGCGTATTTAGACCACGCAGGAGGCGGAAACGACATCTGAAGCACTGCATGAAAGAAAAGTTGTGTAGTGGATTTCTCATTCGGAAAGGGCTTTGTAAGGTTGAAGTTTGTTCAGAATACTGTGATATGTCTCGAGAAGAGGGAATGCTTACTAGCAAGTTTCGGAATTCGATGCAGGCAGGATCGTTACCTATCGAAAGTGTAGATTATCGTTCCGTGATACGCCCGTTGCACTTGGTCGACATCCAACCACTATCATGCGAATAAGGAATCAATAGATTTCTGAGGGTCATCCTGAACGGCACGCATGATCTCAACGCACTTCTATGACTAACGCCAGAGAGGACAGGCATATTGTGAGGTCAGTCCTACAAAACCGTACGACCACATTACGGACCATTAGTCAGGCAATGGGCATGTTTGCAGCACGCCCAGTATCACTTCGTAAGGTGCGTTGATGTTCGCTGTACCGTGGACTATCAACAGGCCTACCATTACTTCGGCTTTCCCTGACAATGCAGCATAGAGAGAGAGACGGCAGCTCTAGTGCACCAAACGACAGAGCTGGGCACAGGAGTGGCACAATGTCGCCTTTTCAAACGAATCCCGGCATTTTTTCTAAATTGAATAGTTCTTGATATTGTGAATCTAATTGAAATTAATTGTGTATAATACAGTAATGGATGTATTATATTTTGTTTGTTTGTTTGTACCATAGTTTTTATTTAAATTAGTTGAACTCAGTTTTGAAAGTATTTCGTATTTCCAGTACAAATTATGAAAGTATACTCGGTTTATTGTTTGAATGCTATAGGTACTTCTTGTAACATGCTTTCTTTATAGTTTATTAATGACTATATTACTTATGTTCTTGTGTTCTTAAAGGCCTTGTATGCCACTGTAAACTTATTTTGCTTAGTGATAATAAATAGCTTCTGGAGGCAGAGGCTTTAATCCGTGTAAGGCAGACATCATGTCAGCTAGGTAATGGAGCCCCTGTTCTCTGGTTAACAGTATTCTGATGGCCGTATACGTGTCTGAAGCGTCCAAGGAGACCGCACGTCGCCTGTTTGCATACGATATCGGCTTGGGCCCTGCGCCTGGTGTGATGTTGTAGGCAGCCATTGGGTACACAACGCGCACATCTCTAGTTCGGATAATTTGAACGCAGATGAGAACATTTCTGACACCTTACGTCCAGTAGTTGTGCCCTATCTTCGAGGCCTCCAAACGCCGTGTTCCAAAAAGGTAATGCAGAACACATGTTGCATGTCCTGTTTTGACCTTCCTCGTTACACAAGGTATTTGATTGCTGCCCTGGCCTGCACGGTCTGTAGATCTGTCACCCATTCAGAACATCTGGTCATGGGTTTGCTGAGAGGCTGCCCCGTTACCGCTGTCCAGCTAAGACGCTTGATGAAATGTGGCATAGACTTCAAGTATCATGGAATAAGTTGCCCATTTCTGTCATCCAAGCCCAGTTTGACTCCATGCCTCATGGGGCAAGGGCAGTTTCAGCTACCAGGCTGGCAGCTGTTCTATTAATTTCGTACCCCTGTAAACCTCCAAAATACTTACAAATTTAATCATTTGGTCTTCATGGCGTACTGTAACCGTAAAAGAGGCTAAATAAACATGATGATGTTAGGTCTTTTCCCTTTCTAAGCAGGATATCTACTAAGCAGGATATCTACTTTCATTCACAATTTTAGCTTTCTGATGTAGGTCATGCTGTTTTGTATGGTATTTTATATTATTGAGAATAAAAGTCCTTATTTTCTTTGCATATAAAGTACAATTTACTTATTATTTTGTTAATATGCTGTCGAAAAGAAAGTAAGCTGATAATTAAAAGCAAAGTTAATATAGTTAACAGCAAAATAATGTATTGATTAAAAATTATTTCTTTGTTTGGTTTCGAAGCAATAAAAAATAAGCTTATGTGCTTAGTTTTATGATATATGTAAA